GGGGCAAGCACTATGGGCAGTCTATCTGAAGTGTACCTGGCGTATAAGACGACCCCCCACTTGGAGGCATATTTTTCAGGGCCAAAAAATCATCTTATACGCCGGCAAATACGGTACCTAAGCTTCCTCTAAATGACTAGCAGCTTCCCCTTGCGTTTTTGCTTTGCTGGTGATGTTCGCTTTGCTGGGCATAACTTTCATTCTCCCTCAAAACACCAGTCCAAAGCCTATCCTTCTTTTAAAATCCACAATGAAATATACTTTCTTCATGAAGTCTTTTTTGGACTGTAAAACTGGATAAACTGATTCTTGTGGTTCATTGCTATATTTTAATGAAGAAAATGTTAGGTTCTAAATGTGAGAGGTTTTTGTTTTTTTTTAATGCCAACCATTACATAATTTTACATAATTGTTCATGTTTTAGTGGCTAGAAAATAAAATCCACAACCTCTCTAGACTGTGATCTTCACTGCCTGTCACTTGAAAGCTGCCCTGTAAATGTTGGCTAAATGAATGAATGAATGAATGAGTGAGATCATTTGATTTCTGTAGGTATTCTAATATAACTCAAATATGAAAGGAAATCTCCCATGGGATATGGTTGCATGCAAGCAGAAAAATAGCATGGTATAATCCTTGATAAAGTTTTATAAAATTAAAAATATCAAGACAGAAAAAAAGTGACATTTTAAGATACAAATGGGTAGAGAGATATAACAACATTTTTATACAAAATAAAGAAAACTTGTATAATAAAGCGAGGATGGCAAAAACACAAAATACACTCAATTCAATTTAAAACAATATTTGTGGAGTACCTCCTTTTTAAATAAGTTAAGAACACTGTCAACTATTACCATTTAAAAAAACTTTTATATGATATATTAAAAAGTGTTAACTTCTTTGGGCCTTAGTTTCTTCATCTATTAAATTGAGATTTAAGGGTCAGCCAGGTGACTCAGTTGATTAGAGCGCGAGCTCTGAGCAACAGTGTCGCCAATTCGATTTTCACATGGGCCAGTGAGCTGAGCCCGAGCTGAGCTGCCATTCAGCTGCCAATGGGTGGCTGGATGGCTCAACTGGTGACAGCACGTGCTTTTAACAACAAGGTTGCCGCATGGGATGGTGGGTTATGGCCACCCGCAGCTTAGATTGAAAACAGCACCTTGAACTGAGCTGCCCTGAGCTGCTGACAGGCGGCCAGATGGCTCAGTGGCTAGAGCGTGCACTCTTAGCAACAAGGTTTCTTGAACACGGCACCTTGAGCTGAATGGCCACAAGCTGCCAGTGGGCGGCCGGATGGCGACTAGACTTGGAGCTGAGCTAGCTGCACCTTCCACAACTAAGACTGAAGGACAACAACTTGGCTGTTCCCCTCCCCCAATTCCCCAATAAAGTCTTTAAAAAAAACAACAACAAAAAGCATAAGGTTTCCAGTTCAACTCCTGTATGAGATGGTGGGCTACGCCCCGTCTACCCCAACGGGATTGTAAACAGCGACTGGACTTGGAGCCAAGCTTGCGCCCTCCGCAACTAAGATTGAAGAACAACAACTTGACTTGGAGCTGATGGGTCCTGGAAAAATACAATGTTCCCTTGCCCAATTCCCCAATAAAAATCTTTAAAAAAAAATTGAGATTTAATATCTAATAATACCTAAAAATATCTCAAAACCTAAGGTTTTGTTATATCTTAAAATGTATGCGTGTCACCTGAGGCATTCAAGTGTCCCCAAGGCCATATGATGATTGCACTCTTTGTAATGTGTGCAGGGAGCTGCAGCAGAGAGCTGATGGTGATGGCAGGAGGGTGGGCTGGGACACCAATGAACCACTTCCTCCTCCACCATGTGCACTTTTCATTTAAATAAAACTATGCTTCTCCATGCTTCAAGGATTACTAAAACTGTTGTTTAATTCCATCTGATTAGTTCATCTTTCTAATCCATTGGGCAGAAAGAAGATATTTATTTGTTCAAATCAGTATTTGAACAGAAATATGAAGTAGAGAACTAAAAAAACATATCCAGACGTCTTTTCTTTTTCTCTTTTTTTGGGGTGGAGGGATAGGTGGGCTAGGGAACTTGTATTAAGAGGAGTTCAGGTGATGGAAGGATTGGGAAACATAGTTTCTGGTATTTTGACTAGTTTGATTACACTGATCCTCTTCATTAGGATGTTATTTGACTCCCTAATTCACTTCCTTTGTATAGATTTAGCAAGTAGATTGTTGGGTAAATAATAACGAGAAATGGGTGTAATTGTTGTTGGGTCTTTTCAGAATTTGGACACCTTGGACAATACAGAAACCCCACACATTCTCAAACTACAAAGTTGGCTGAATTTATGCAGAATTTTCATGCAGTGAGTCAAGAAGTTGTCTTAAAGTTGTAGTCAAAGGTGCATAGAGCTTCTGATTAAAAAATATTAAGCAAAAGCCTCTGAATTAATTTCCTCTTTAGAAAAAAAGGAATCCAAATTTGACCTGAATCTGGAGTCTAAGCCAGCAGGTGGCAATGTTCCTTGAAAGCCATCTCTGAAATAACAATGACCCCATCCATCATTTGTTCCAGGAAACTTGAGGAAAACAGATGATGTAAGCCAGTTGGCTGGGGTGCACGCTTACGCCCTTTAATATTCAGTAAACCCTACCTGTTATTTGCTTTTTAGTCTCCAAGTCTCTGGTTTGCTTCAGCACCTGGAGCAACCGAGGGACCCCGTTGAGTTCAGCCACCTCCAATTTGTTGTCATTGTCTTCAAACACCAAGTTTCTCAAGGCCCCACACACTGCTCTCTGAACATCTTCATTCTGAACTTTGAGAAGCTGCAGAAGCTTGGGGATGCCATGAAGCTGATTCACCTGGGGAAGAAGTGGATGCGTATTTCAGATGTTTATTAATTTTGATGTGGCACGAAAGACATTCAGTGTGATATGAATGAACAGATGAAGCTTACGAATGTTGATTATAACTCCCAGCAATTAACAACTACGTGTGGCATAGCTTGAGACTCACTGTGGACAATATATATACTCCTTCTATAAGGTATCTCTCACCGAGGCACTTACAATAAGTTTGGGAAGTTAAGACAGAAACCTGTGAAAAAATTAAAGGAAAGTTAGGTGATAAAGGGTGGATAAGTGATAGCTAAGTGGATAGAAAGAGTTAAGTGATAGAAGTCTTAAGCATAATAAAGAAAAAAACTGAGAATTAGAGGAGTAAGTAATGTTTTATGGACGAATACCATACTACAGGAGCGTTGTTGTTTTTTCTCCCCTAGGACAGAATGTTACAGTTCATATAAACTGAACAGAAATTACCTTCATCAATGGTAGAAATAAAAATTCATTTACCATGACAACCATAGTAACAATGCAAACTAACCCTAAATGTAAGCTATTTTTATGATCAATTGCTTTGAGTATTTAAAAGATTTATTAAATTAGTCAAGCATTTTAATTTAAGTAAATAACACAACTTTACACTTTTTTTTTTTAAAGATTTTTTTTTATTGGGGAACAGTGTATTTTTCCAGGACCCATCAGCTCCAAGTAAAGTAGTTGTACCAAACCAGTTGTGAAGGGTGCAGCTCCTTGGCCTATGCGGGGATTGAACTGGCAATGTTAGTGTTATGAGCACTGCGCTCTAACCAACTGAGCTAACCGGCCACCCAACAACTTTACACTTTTTTAATGTGCTATTTAAAAAATATTTCTTCTAGGGGCCGGCCGAGTGGCGTGTTGGTTAGAAGTTGGCTTGGGCTTGGGGCGCCAGCTCTGAGCAGCAGGGCCCTGGTTCGGATCCCACATTAGGGCCACTGATGCTGCGCCCTCTACAGCTAAGATGGTGAACAACAGCTTGACCTGGAGTTGGGCTGTCGTGAATCGCGGGCGACTGTGTAGGCTGCAGTGGGGCTGGCGGGCAGCGGGCGTGAGCTGCCAAGAGCTGCCTCGAGCAGCCGTCCATGGACGGCTAGCGACTGCCTCACCCGGGAAGAGCGCAATGATCACAATACCAACATGGGCCAGTGAAGCGATGCCCTCCACAACTAGACTAAAGAACAAAAGGACAGCAACTTGTCTGTTCCCCTCCCTCAATTCCCCAATAAAATCTTAAAAAAAAAAGAAATNCTGTTGTTCACCATCTTAGCTGTAGAGGGCGCAGCGTCACTGGCCCTCATGTGGGATCCGAACCGGGGCCCTGCTGCTCAGAGCTGGCGTCCCAAGTCAACTCCTAACCAACGCTCCACTCGGCCGGCCCCCATGCTTCAAGGCAGAGCCCTACACACTAGTCAGTGCTCATTCTCAGTGACCTTGAAGATGAACCTCTGAGCCTACAAAGAGAAACTGTTCTCATTTCAAAGAACACTACCACACTCACTTGGTAAGGGAGAGGGAGCAATCTCATTGGGGGGAAATCTTTGATCCTGCAGACTTTTCATTGGAAGAGGGAAGAGTTTCCCTCCTGGGCTGGTACAGAAAATGCCAGAAAGGTGCATGGGTTGACATTCTCTCCCAGGGAACAAAGCTCTGATGCTGAACTTAGGCACATATAGAACCAGATGGTTCTTTTTAAAATGTCTTGGTCAGAAAAATCAAGGTCTTATCTGAAAACACACTTAATTCTCTTATATATGTGTAATCCAGATAGTCCCAGGCCACAAGTCTTTTGTTTTTTTAATATTTGGTAAGGCATCCACAGTTGCTGAGAAACTTACACAAGCACCACAGTTATTATTGCAATAAATACACAGGAATGAAATAAGTGGCAACCTAGTATTAAAGGAGACAAAGGTAGTTCAGAGAAGCCCCTTCCTTCACAACTCAGAAGAGGGGGTGCTGAAACTAAAGAATGGAGGGATGGCATTTGTTTCAGAGGAGAAGTGATATTTGAGACAGCCAGTAAAGGATAAGAGAGTTCTCTAGGTGTGAAAACGGACTCCAGTCCAAGACAACAGAGGCAAAGACATCGAGACAGAATGGAGACATGGAACCGACCAGCAGGTAACTTTAGAATTTCAGAACTTGGGATGGAAGAGTAGGAGGAAACGCTGCTGCCAATGGTCATCAGGCTCACATCATGAAGTCTTTGTGTGGCATGGACAGGGTACAGATTTTATCTCATAGGTAACAGGGAGCATAATGGGATAATATTTTCATTTTAGAAAGAAATCACTAGCAGAGTACTGGATAGATGGGGAATGTGCAATATTGAATCAGAGGCGAATGTGCAATATTGAATCAAAAGGCCAGGTAGGAGGCTACTGAAAGAGCACCCCAGGGAGAGGAAGAGGGCTTGCACTCAGGCAGTAACAAGAGTAAGAGGAGAGAGGAACGGTCAAAGAGGAGTGAGGGAGAGCTCTCTGATCTGAGATTCTCAAAGACCAGCCCCTTATCAAAGATGTATAAAAATGAGACCCTCTGTCCCCACGCAGTAGGTGGGAGCCGCCTTGATATAGGAAAACACCCAGATAAAAACTGGATTCAAATCTGGGCTTTGTTTTTCAATAGTTGTATAACGTCAGACAACTAACCCCCTGAACCTCACACTGATCACATATAAATCATCAATAAAGCCTTAAGGAGGTGTCAGGAGGGAGCAGAGATGAAAAATGAAAAGCCCGAGCTGAGTGACTAAGTCATAATAGGGGCTCAATAAGAAGATGTTACGGAATAGACAAGAAGAAATCCACATATATGGTTACCTGCTTTGTGTTTTCAAAGAAAGATACAAACATGTCTATTAAAGTCAATAATTTATTTCTGAGGCCCAGGAAGCATTTATTTAGCTTTTGCATTAATAGAGCAAAGGAAGTTATTCAGAAGGATTTGTGTCAAATATTCAAGTATCCACTCAATTCAATGAACATGTAATGAACGCTCTCTGGTAGGGATGTTTGGCTTGTACTAGAAATCCTGGGACTTGTAGAATCAACCTCCATTTATCAGCTCTGTAGATTATCTAAAGAGGAGTCAATGGTTTCTATGGCATCAATATCACAGAAAGTTCTCTGACCTTAGTTTCCTATTGCCTGTACAAAAGAAGAAGAAGCATGGTTCAGTGGAGTACTTCCTTGACACACACCCACACATCTCAAGCTTTCTAGCTACCATGCCTTGACCTCAATTACTCTATTACCGTATTTGCCGGCGTATAAGACGACTGGGC